TCAAATGACTGGTCCCTTCTTGAAAAGAGCAGCGAAGTGCGCGTGTAGCACCGCCGCGAGCGAGGACGAGGTTGGGGAACCCAGTCGTCGTGTCGAGATACGTGTTGGTAACGTTTCGGCCCGCCTGATGTAGCGTCTCCCAAAGCTCGAGGATGCGCGCCGAGAGGTCGCTGTTCGCGACGACCTGCGCGAGCTCGTCGTACATGCAGAGCGCCCGCAGCACGATGATGAGCGCATCGCTCGTCGTCGCAGGCAGCTCAATAAGACCAGCGTCGGCCGCGAGCATCTCAGCGAGCCACTCGTCGACGAGAAACTTGGTCTGGTCGCCCTTGACCTTGAAGTACGTCCCCACGTCCGTAAACATTGAGCTTGGGCGGTGGAAGCAGAAAGCAAATATAAGAGCGTGGCCAGTGTGGCGAAAAACCAATGGTCTTCATAACCAACATCGTTTAAACAGTGATTAAACGTTTTACCCACTGATTAAACCAGTGTTTACCACTGATTAAACAAGTGCGTAAACACCGTCGCACTCGAGGAGCACAGGCATCTATACCGGTACTTATAAGGGCATTAGACATAAAGACCAGGTGAGTGCTCAGCACCAAGTAAATGTATTTTCCATGTATTCGTCTGTGTATTAGTCGAGATTCTGACGACAGAATTCTTTTATGCCGGCGCATTCGGTGTTGGCCTTGTGGGCAGCCTCGCACCCTGCCTCGCACCACATGCAGACGGAGCGCCCTGCTCTCGTGTTGCACGAGAGCAGGGCGCTCCTACAATTTGAACTAAGGTGGTCTCGATTTCGGGTCGACAAGCTGCACGCCTGCGGTAGCGGTGCATGGCCAATATGTAAGAAATATTGGAAAATGCTGGAATCCTTTCCAACGGCCCACTACAAGTCGCTGGTGATGGACAGAGGCTCAACGTGCTGATTTGCGGCATCCCCAAGCACTGGGTGATTTTGCAATGAATTGATTGGAATATAATTGCATTTTCGAAACCACGCTCTATGCGCGGAGCCGCAACGCTGGGATCGTTTCAGTGGCCAAGGACACGTCTGTCTAGAATTATGAAGGCTCAAAGCACCATGTATTGGCTCGCGTTGAATACTATATTAAAATGCAAGCGGCGCTGTAGCGGGCTCTAGAACCAACATCGTCAGTGTAACATACTCTCCGATACCATAAAAGAGAGATAGCGCTCTCGAAGTTTTTCAACATTTTTACGGTATAATGGCTTATGTTGGCGTGGCACTGCCAGCAGTCTCGGCTCGGTGCAGTGTACAAGCAGAAGTACGTTATGCGTAAGGTGCTCGAGCGCAAGCCATCGGAATCAGCGCCGAGAGATGGCGCGCGCGCTCCGAAGACGATGCGGCGCTGGCCGACGTGCTAGAGAGGCCGTCGAAAAATTGGCCAGGGCTCCGCCCAAGGGCCGAATCAATGGCTCGTCACGCATGGATAGGCTGCGCCATATCTACAGCGATATGTCGCGTGAGCGCCTCGGCCCGAGGCCTGCGCACGGCTTGCCAAGTACCACGTGGCTGGGCTGGCGCCGATGATCGGTTCAGACTGAGGCAAGAACACTAGTGATTGGCTCCAAAATGAAACCTTGCCGCTCTGATTGGCCACAAATTAAAAGTATTGTGCTCTGATTGGCTGAAACGCTCTGGCGTTGACGAAAATTAGGGAGACCGACAAGGAACGCTGCATTGCAACCGAGCGATACCTCGTGCTGACGTGTGTATAGAGACAGTTGATTCCTCAAGCGCAACGCAGCAACGTCATTGGTGCCCGAGGAGCCTCGGCGTCGTCTTTCTGGCGTCGCCTGTGGTGCTAATAGGTGTTCGCCATTTACAACCATAAATAACCATATTTTGGTGTTCCCAGGCCCGCCGCGCCGGCGGATCAACCTGAATGAAGTTTGAAAATGAAATCGCCCATACTTATCAGAGCGCTAGACCACACTTTGAGGAGTCCAAAATGCTATGTGGCGTCGCCGTGCGGACTCTGTAGCGAGAGCAAATGACAGCGGAAACAATATTTTGATATAGTGTGTTTTTTCGCTATACCGTAATACTGTATCATGATACGAGGCCTCATCACGCAGCGGTACCGCGCGCACTTTGCCTCTCTCGGCCACATGCAATACGCTCTTTAACATGGATAAAATGAGACGGCGTCCTCGGCTTTCGGGACTTCGACGCATTTTCAACCGAAATCGCATGTCGAATTTCGTGAAAACCGACGCTCGGCAGTACGACTTTGCTGCGAGAGCCCAAGCGCCTACCACGTCCCAAACGCAAGTCACCGGGCCAGTCCATATACATAGCCAACTGTGGCTGCCCGCGTCGAAGTCGGTCGAGTTTTCGAACTGCGCGAAAACACGTTGTGCATCTGGGCGTTTATTTGACCACCTCGAAAAATCAACGTTGGAATTCGCATGCATGCGCTGCGTTCGGCGTCCAAACCTTCATCTCCATGATACTGGGATGCTATAGAGCGACAGGAACCGGTGCGGCCTCGCGTTAACGCGTCTGTGTGGCGTCGATCGTGGTTGAGGTGGTGGTGCTCACACCATTTAAAATACATCATCTTGAAATACTGTTATGTATTCGGATAACTGATATTTATGTCTGTGAGTATCGAACTTTCAATTCAGGCCTTATCGTCGCCAAAAGCAAATTCGTTCCCAAAAACAAGTATGTACAATAAACTATCAATTGAATTGAAGCACTAAAACCAAAAGGCTGAGTAGCAGAGGAATAGCGGGTGACATCAAGCCTCGTTTGTTGTGCTATTGAAATGAAACACTCTTGAAACTTTCGGATCTGGATTAGCCGTGGACTCCCGGTGTGGGAGGGTTAATATGTAAACGAGCCGCCGCTAGGTATACGACCAAGCATCCGTCAACGTACTCTGAAAAAGCGTTGTTTGGTGTGACTTGTAGCATGAGGCACTTGAACTCGTCAAAGTCAGCGCAGCTCGTGAGCGCGTCGATCACGCCTCCCGTTATTCCATCTTCATGCTCTTGGACAACGCTGCAGCGCGCGTCCATGCTGAAGTGGCCGATGATCTCTTTCGGCCGCGCCTCGAGAATCCTTTGGCACCCTCAGGAGCTGCACTGGGCGCTGCCGAGCACGGGCGTAACTAGCATAGGCATGCCGAGCTACTGGAGGAGCGGCGCGGCCTGTGGAAAGTCCACGGCGAGGGCCGGGAAGCTGTTGTCGACTAGAGAGTAGGCAGGAGCGTCAGCCTGGGCCAATGGCTGACCTTGGACGCGATCGTATCGAGGATTTCGAGCTTTTCAACCGGACGAACGAGCTGGCGCAGGTCTTTTCATCTCGCGTTTGGGTGTGATCTGTATGCGATCGGCTTGAGAAAATATCTGCCGTCGCGACGTTCAGGCTGGCAAATGCTGCCAGAAGCGTGGCGTCCAAACGTCCGCTGAGTGGTGGAGCAAAGTCGAAAGGCTCGGAGCAGCCTACGTGAGCGTTAAGAACGAACAGTTTCGACCGCTTGCTACCTCGAGCAGAACGCGGATCGTTGGGCGAAAGATTCACAGCGGGCGAGAGGCTCGTAGGGTCGCCAGCAGTCTCGGCGCCGTGCGCAAGCAACAGAGTGAGGTGCTCCGGATGAGATGCCTACTGCAGCGCCGACGTCGTCGCCGTGTTGCCCATTTTGGAACTGGGTGTGGTCCATTGTCCGGATACGGAGCCAGATGGTTTGTCGCATGGCCGATGAGCGACCTATGTGCAATCATTCCAGTCGCCGCCGGCCGGACTGCGACCCTGCGTCTCCCGTCTTGGCCGCTTCCGCTAAGCTAATCGAAGGTCCGCGCCTTCTCTTCAACCTCCTCGTTTGGCCTACCGCCCACGGCCACGAGCACGGCGCCGTCGACCACGTGCACGCTGTGACGAGCTCCTCGACGAGAAGGCCTATGCAGGCGTCGTGCTTTGGTAGCCTCGTGCTACTGATCGCTCGCCTAAGCGCTCGCAGGCTGATCATCACCTGGTTGACCATGCGCTGGATTCTCTCCGAGCCCGGCCGCACTGCGTGCGCTCGATCACGACCATCGTCCGTGCCCTCGCAAGTGGCTTGCACCAGAGCGTACGTCTCTACCTATGATAGGCACAGGCGCTTAGACGACGTCTCTGTAGCCATGGCGCGGGACCAAAAGCGCCGCATGACGAGCGACCGAGTCGACCCGACGGAGCACCTCCGGCGAATTCTGTTGACCGCCTCGCTGGCACGTCGGTCGCCTGCATAGGTGCTCCTGCAAGCTCGATAGACCGACGGTGAGTCATGGCATGGCCGCCGCGACGTCATCACGTGACTCAGCCAAGCCATTGGCATGCAACGCCTCCAGTCGGATGCGCAATCCGAGCACCGTGGCTAGCGCCTCTCGTCCCGGCAACCATAGAGCCATCGAGCTTTTCAGCCCGCGTCGTCGATAACTCGGCAAAAGCGTTTGCGGCTAGCTGCTCGACGAGGTACTGCATCTATCGATGCGTCTGAATGCAGTGTCTGAGCCGTATAGAGCAGACGCTTTCGGCCACGAGCGCGCTTAAACCAACAACGCTCGGTACGCTGGCACCAGTTCCCGTCCAGACGTTGGTCAAGAACGTCCCGCCTACGACATCGGTCGTACATTCACGTCCTGGTTACCACGAGAAGCCTAGAAGGATGCTCAGGATGGGAGCTCTTGCGTATCAACTTGATACTTTTGAAAAGAGCTCCAATCACCGATCTATGAGGCACGCTCGGCCCCGGGTTGTGCATCTCAACGCGTGAAGCATCATTCATAGCAGGACCATTGTATTAGAGATGCGAAGTCTCCAATCGCTGGCGCATCGACTCGACGACGGTGACGAGGTGGTCGACAGTGGCTTGCAGCGTTGCGATCTTGTCGTCTGGCGACTCTTGGGCGTCGTCGTTGCGGTGTGCGTAGTCTTGCTGAGCGAGCTCTTGCTTGGACACGGGCTCCTCAAAGATCGGGTTGCGCACGCGGCCGCCTGGGAGGGCAAAGTGCAAGAGCTGCTCGCGCTCGGCCTGGGTCTGGCCCAAGGCGATCTCGAGGCGCAGGACGCAGCGCGCGTAGCTCGCCAGCGCCCGCGCCTGCAGCTTGTTCCAATTGCCGTCGACCGTCTTGTTCATCATCGCCAGCAGCAAGTTGAGCAGAAGCACGACCATGACCGCGCAGTGAAACATGCGTAAAATCAACCCGAAATGCAGCAAAACGTCGGGTAAAACGTGTTGCCCGTCGTTGTCCTTGAGGGTAAAGTCGTCGCTGCCATTGTCGCCGTACAAGACAAAGTACGTGGTCCGGAAGCTCGCCCAGAGCGTCTTGTACGCATCCGACTCTTGCTCGAAGATAAAGTAAAAGGCGCACGTGAGGCCGCACTGGAAGACGCCGTAGAAAATGGTAAAGTCCCAGACGTCGCCCATGACATCTTTGACCATCGGGAGGAGGTAGCCGGCGGTCTTGTTGACCTCGAGGAACTGCAGCGAGAGCATCCAGAGGCTGAGCGTGAGAAACGCGCCAAGACAGAGGTACACGTCCTTGAGACCGGGCGAGAGCGGCGCGCAGAGGCGCCAAAAGTGCAATGGCGTAAACACAAAGATGACGCAGAGGTGCGTGAGGAGCTGGAGCTTGTTGACGTGCGACGCGTAGTACCGGCGGTACGTCGGGAGGAACGGCGTCATGCACGGCAGCACGAGGGCGAGGACGAGGATCCAGACGGCCTTGCGGAGGCCGCCGCTGGCCTCGATGCGCTCGAAGATCCACGGATCCTCGCCGAGCACTTCGCGGTACTCGAGCAGTAAGAAGTACACTGCGCAGCCGAAGAGCACGGCCAGTGTACAGTACAAGTTGAAGAGCACGACGGCCTCGACGACGGCTTGGCCCGCGCTCGGGATCGCCAGCGTCAAGACGAGCACGACCGGTGTCGCAATGAGAAGCGTCCATAGCAGCACCCGGCGGAGCAGCCACGCCTTGGCCTTCCCCTTGTAAAACACACGTTGGGAATCGCAAAGGACGGCTCGAGGATGTCCATGCCGTCGTACATGCGCCGCGTGAGCCGCGCAAACGTCATCGGCTCCAAGTAGTGCAAGTGGAGGCTGGCGACGGCGCTAAAGACGAGGAAGACGACCCAGATGACAAAGCTGGCTTCGATGCGCAGCGCGCGCTTCAGCGCCGCGACGTACTCGGGGTCGGTCGGGTCGAGGTTCTTGAGCGCGTCAATGCGCTTGAACGCGAAGACGCTCATGACGACCATGGTCATGGCCATGAGCATCGCGACGAAGAGGAGGGCGTGCTGGTAGTACTTGCGCGCGCCAAAGAGCTCCCACTTGACGTCGAGGATGCGCTGCAGCACGACGTGGCGCAAGACGCTCAGCTTCTCGTCGTCCTCGTACGCGAGGATGTGGCCGTTGAGCACCGAGTACAAGGCTGAGCTCTTGATGTGGTACTTGCCGTAGATCGCGTCGAGGTCCTTGAACGTGAGGGTGTAGCGGCCATCGCTGTTGACAAACTGGTCGAGGTACCGCAGCGCGGCGGCCGGGTCGCTGCCCAGCGCCTGGCGGAAGAGCCGCTCGCTGAACATGGCGCCGTCGGCCACGTTGAGCTCGGCGCGCAGGTGCTCGTGGTACGGGTGGTGCGGTGTCGTGGCGCGGTAGTGGGCCTCGCTGCGGAGAAGCCCGGCGCACGGGTGGTGGCCGCCGCGCAGCGCGTGCTCGAGCGGCGACATACCGCCGTAGTCTTCCAGCGCAATGTCCGCTGTCGGGTCGAGCAGGAGCTTCTCGAGAAGGAGGAGGTCGCCGTCTGCACACGCGCGGTGGAGCGCCGTCCGGCCGTTGGCGTCGACGCCAAGCACGCTCATGCCCCGCGACTCTCGCATCGTCAAATGACCGGCTTGCCACTGCGCGGATTGTGGCCGATCGCGTGCGAAAATATTTTTTGAAACAGCGAAATGGCTGGCACATACTACATATCAACTCTTGCCACACGAGCGGACGCAGCTTCCACGGGTGCTGCATTGAGCGGCGCAACATGGGCAAAGGGCAAAGCGTGCCCTGCTTTGTGGCTGTGAGGTGCGTTGGCCGTGGCTGTGCGGCCTGGTTGAAGTTGAACCATGTGCTTTGCGTTCCTGGCCTCCTAGCCTCCTAGCCTCTTAGCCTCCTGCAGTACACTGTAGCGCTGCGAAATGCATGCAATCCCGTGGCGCGTTGGTTCAACCAGTTTGCCTTTGTGCTGGATTGTATCAAGTTGATGTATTTATCACTCCTTCGCTTTGCATGGCGTTGCCTGCTGTGCAATCGCTGGAGCACGAGAGAGTGTTGGGTTCGCATAGAAGACATGCTCGCGCCTCAGCTGAAGCTCTCAGCTGACGGGTGCAGCGTGTACTGTACGAGCGTCGAGGGTGTCGAGACGGCTCACGGCTGATGGCGTTTGCCGACCAGCGACCACTAGCACTCTATCATTCGGAAGCTCTCTTAGTCGCCTCGTCGTGTGGCGCTCGTAGCTCATCCGTCACGACCGTCGCTGTCGACGCAGTGACTCCATCGCCAGCGCTGGTTGTCCCGTCGCCGATCACTTTTTCAGAACCCGCCGTACATCATAGTACCGTACGTACATGCCGTACATTGCCTGTACGGCCACCACGGAGGCGGCGGCGGATGCGGCGCCGCGACTTGGGCCCACGTGGCTGACGCCATGGCCCTGGTCACTGGCTGCTGGCGCCGCGGCCTCGCATGACATGCTGCTGGATCGCGCGCGTGTGGCCGCGCAACGAGGACCACAATCCCACTTTGCACCAGCTGGCAGCCGCATGGGTGCCATCTTGGCCGCAGTTGAGCATTCACGAATGGCGATTGCCGTCAGCTACCGGTCGCTCGAGGGCGCGCGCGTCAACGCCATCAACGCGGTCGACGGCAAGGGCCGGACGGCGCTCGCCCGCGCCTGCCACGACGGCAACTTTGAGGAGGTGCTGCAGCTCCTGTCGCACCCGCACATTGACATTGCACTCGAAGACGACTCGGGCATGTCGCCCATCGAGTGGGCCATCAAGCACAACCACCACGCGTGCGCGAGCCTCGTGCGCAACGAAGCGTACTTCCGCGCGTCGCATCGCGAGAACGCGTTCCAGGTGCACCTGCGCGCCGAGCTGCAGTGCGCGGACGCAGTCTTTGACGAGCGCCTCTTTCGCCAAGCCGTCGAGACGGATCCGTCGGCCGCCATGAAGTACCTCGACCAGTTTGCGTCCTCGGACCGGTACTACTACCATTTCTCGCAGCTCGATGCGATTTACGGCCGGAAGAACGTCAAGTCGTCGGCGCTGTATGCGATCTTGAACAGCAACATCTTGCCGGCGCAGGACGAGGCCAAGTACGTGTGCCTCCAGCACGTGGTCATGCAGCGGATCCTCGACATCAAGTGGGAACTCTTCGCCGAGCGTATGTACTACTTCCAGCTGCTCATTTTCGGACTCATGATGACGGCGATGACCATGGTCATCGCGTCCTCGTACGCGATCGCCGTGTACATTGAGAAGGAGCAGCTCGACGAGATCGTCGACGAGGACTCGGCGACCGGGATCACGATCCGGCTCATGTTCCACCTCTGGAGCGTCATCTGCATCTACTGCCTCGTCGCGAAAGCGCAGCTCCGTGGCCTCACGCCCGAGTACCTCTACCGCCTCGCGCGCTGGCAGCACGACGGCGTCTGGGCGCCGTTCGACCGCAACGTCACGATCCCGTCGCTCTCGCTGCACAAGTCGTACGCCAAGTGGTACCTCTTCAAGCGCTCGATCGTCGTGACACTCCTCGTTGCGACGCCGTGGTGCGCCTACATTGGCTTTGGCTTTACCGGCGCGCTCGGCATCGAGAAGCTCGGCTTCATGGTGCTGGCGACGGTCATGTCGACTGCCGGCGTGCTCCTCGTCACGGCGCTGTACTTTCTCTTGCTCGAGTACCGCGAGATCCTCGGCGAGGACCCGTGGATCCATGAGCGCCGGGCCAATGCGGGTCTCTGCGGCTGGCTCTTCTGGACGTTCGTGCTCATCTTTCTGCTGCCGCTCGCGACACCGTTCATGCGCCGGTACAAAAAGTACTTTGGCTCGTGGTTCAACATTCTCCAGCTCCTCACGTACATCTGCATCGTCCCGTTTGCCCTCCTCTCGATCCTCTGCCTCGTGCCCGAGTTCCAAGGGCTCATCAAGGACGTCTACCTCTGTCTCGGCGCGTTCATCACGCTCAGCCTCTGGATGCTCTCGCTCCAGTACCTCGAGGTCAACAAGACCGCGGGCTACCTCCTGCCCATGCTCATGGACGCGCTCGGCGACGTCTGGGACTTTCTCGTCTTCTACGGTGTCTTCCAGTGCGGCCTCACGTGCGCCTTTTACTTTATCTTTCAGCAAAAGAGTGACAACTACAAGACGCTCTGGGCCAGCTTCCGGACCACGTACTTTGTCTTGTACGGCGACAACAACGTCGACGACTTTGCCGAGACGGACCTCGAAGGCGACCGTGTGCTGCCATCGCTCATCACGCAGTTTGGCTACGCCCTCGCATGTTCCACTGCGCCGTCATGGTCGTTCTTCTGCTCAACTTGCTGCTTGCGATGATGAACAAGACGGTGGACCGCAACTGGGACAAGATCCACGCCCGCGCGCTCTCGTCGTACGCGCGCTGCGTGCTGCGGCTCGAGATGATGCTCGGGCAGACCGAGGCCGAGCGCGACAGCATCATCTTCCTCACGCCCAAGTGGTACTACAGCGGCGCGGTCGCCGAGCACATCCCAATCAACCAGAACGCGTCCTTGCGGCTGCTCAACCCCGCGTTCACCGAGCCCATCTCGAAACACGACCTGGCGGGCGGCGAGCTGCCCGAGCGCTCGACCGACGACGAGAATAAGCGGCTTGCAGCGCAGGTCGCGGAGCTCAAGGCGCAGAACGCAGCGCTGCGCACGGCCATGGAGACCTCGAACGAACGCGTGGACCACAAGCTCGACAAGCTCACGGCGCTGCTCTTGGGCCTGCACGAAAAGACCGAGTAATGCGTGTGGTTTAGCAATGCAACTCGCTTTTGGTGATGTAAACGTGTGTGGAAATTGCTTGGTCATGCGAGGCTTTGGAGTGCGTAGTGTAGAACTCATTCTTGTACGGACCGTGACACCGACGAGCGTGGCGAGTCGGGACGGCTTCCACCGCCGGTCGCTGCGTCGCCGTCGTAATCGTTTACCCAAACCAGAGCGCCAACGCTCTCCTCCGCTGTGTATGCCGCACAAGCTCACGCTTCCAATCGTCCTGCACCACCAGTTGCTGACATCGCCTCCGTCGCTGGCGCTCCTCAATACACTGCTTTGCTGCCTATGCGACGCTCCAAAGGACGTCACCGATTGGCTATTGAGAGCCAGCTGTTTGTATCGACCATCAGCAGCATCTCCCACAACCGAGCGACAACGCAGACGACGCAAATGGCCTCTGCCATGCGCGGGACGCAGCCGTCGATCCGGCACACCGCTGTCAACGCGATCGACGCAACTGGTCGGACGCAGCTCGCGCGCGCGTGCGCAAGCGGTGACTACGACGTTGTCAAGAAGCTCCTTCTGGACCCCAAGATCGACATTGCCCTTGAGGACAACGCCGGTGTCGCCGCTCGAGTACGCCGAGAAGTTCAAGCACGTCAACTGCGCGGCTTTGGTGCGCAACGAAGCCAACTACCGCGTCAAGGACCCTTCCAACGACTTTGTGACCAACCTCCGCGCCGAGCTCACGGTCGCTGATGGCGCCGACTTTGACGAGCGCCTCTTCCGCCAAGCAGTCGAGAACGACCCCGCCGCTGCCGCCAAGTACCTCGACCAGTTCGTCTCAAGTGGCCGGTACGACTATTCTTTTACGCAGCTCGACGCGATCTGCGGCCGGAAGAACGTCAAGTCGTCGGCCTTGTACTCCGTCTTGAACGACTCGATCGTGGACGACGGTGGCGCCAAGCACGACCTTTTGCAGCACGTCGTGCTGCAGCGTGTGCTGGACGTCAAGTGGGAGCTCTTTAGCGCGCGAAAGTACTACCAGCAGCTGCTCATGCACCTCCTCGTGCTCGGCGCCATGACACGACGGTCACATTCGACTTTCGGCTGCGGGCCGCCGTCGTCGCGTCGCGGGCCGTCGAAGAGAGTGACGGCCAACGACACGACGAAGGTGGGCAAGCTCGAGGCCGAGTACGTCAAGAAGCTCAGTCTCCAGACAAGTGCCGTTGTGTGGCTCTTCTCGGTCGTCTTTTGTCTCGTTGGTTTTGTGCATTTGCGCCAGCTCAAGCCCGAGCGCCTCCTCAAGCTCGTGCGCTGGATGTACGACGGCAAGCACGTCCTCGACCCCAGCTTTGCCATTCCACACGTCGCCAAGTACAAGGCCAAGGTGCGATCTTGGCTCCTCGTTCGCACGATCCTCTGGACGCTCGTGCTTGCGGTGCCGCTGCTTGTCGTGACGTACACGCTCGACGTTGACGGGCAGATTGCCGTGCTGCAGTACCAGTCGTTCGCAGCGTTCGGTATCCTCCTCATCACGGCCGCGTACTTTCTCGTGCTCGAGTACCTCGAGCTCCTCGGCGAAGATCCGTGGATCTTCGAGTGCATCGAGGACGCCAACGTCCTCGGAAAGCTCTATTGGTCGTTTGTGCTCGTGTTTTTGCTGCCGTTCATCGTGCCCTTCAAGGCCTCGTACCGCAAGTACTTTGCCTCGTTCACCAACAAGCTCCAGCTTACGACGTACCTCTGGATCCTCGGTCCTTTTGCGCTGCTCCATGCGATGGAGAACATTGTTGGCTACCCATTTGAGCTCACGGTCACGCTCGCCGAGGTACCTCTGCCTCGGCGCGTTCATCATTCTGAGCCTCTGGATGCTCTCGCTGCAGTTCCTCGAGGTCAACAAGACCGCCGGCTACCTCCTTCCGATCGTCAAGGACGTCATGGGCGACGTCTGGGACTTTCTCATCTTTTATGGCGTCTTCCAGTGCGGCCTCACGTGTGCCTACTACTTTATCTTTCAGCAAAAGTCGGATGCGTACAAGACGCTCTGGGCCAGCTTCCGCGCCACGTACTTTGTCATGTACGGCGAGAACGGCGTCGGCGACTTCAACGCCAAGGACGACACGACCAAGGAGCACCTGCTGCAAGGCCCGATCATGCATTTCGGCTTTATTCTGCGCATGTTCCACTGCGCGGTCATGGTCGTGCTTCTGCTCAACTTGCTTCTCGCGATGATGAACAAGACAGTCGACCGCAACTGGGCCAAGCTGCAGTCGCGGGCGCTGGCGAGCTACGCGCGCTGCGTGCTGCGCCTCGAGACGATGCTGGGGCACACGGAAGCGGCGCGCGAGAAGCGCCTTCAGATTTTGACGCCCGCTGGTCCGGTCCTCAACCCGATTTTTGGCGAGCACGTCTCCAAGCGTCAGCTTACGATGTCCACCGCCAAGGACGACATTGATGAAGACACGCGTCGAGACGGACTTCTGACCAAGGTGCACGACTTGTCGATCCAGAACGCGCAGCTCGAGACTCAAATCGCCGGTACCACGCAACGCCTCGATAGCCAGCTACACGACGTGCTTGCAGCCATCCAACGCGCTGCCAAGTAGGCTCTCCAACCATACATCACGCCCGTAATCAATCATACGAGTTTCGAGTGCTTGTTTGTATTTTACATAGTTTTCACTATCGCATTAGTTGTTAGAGGTGCCATTTCGGCTCTAGTACCCTTCAATGCGTTTGACCTGTGCGCACAGAGACCGAAGCCGTTCCTGCAGTGCCGACTGACACCCAGCGGAATAAATTAGTTTTATTCCCTTGGTGACACTAGCCTGGACGTTCTCCACCGGTGATGGCTATCTTGAGAGACTTTTAGACGTGCTCGGTGGAGAGCGGGTGTAGCCGTTGCAGTGCGACAACACTGGCTGTGCAGACTAAAAAGTATTCGCACTCATGCCCATCTCGCAACCACGACTACACACGCGACTGGCTTCGGTGTCGCCAACAATTAATTATGCTCCAGATCGTTTCTACTCCCTCGGCGTCTCTGCTGTGTCGTTCGTGCTCAACGCTGTGCTGAACTTAAAAGGCCACGCAGTTGGTGGTCCCGCCTTGGCTGCGCTGAACAAGAGGCTCGCCAACAAGACGATGGCCACCTTGTTGCCGCGGGCAAGATCGTTGCAGTCGGCGGCTTGCAAATTCGAAAGTAGATGCGTTGAAGCAGATCGTTCGAGTCACTTTACCATCTATTGCGTCACTTCCGCGCACAACCTACGTATCGCCGTCGTACGCATCATCTCGAGCCGGCGGCTCGTTGGCGAGCTGCTACTGGTCGGTGTGCTGGCGTCGGTGGCGCGCTGGTCGTCGTCGACACGCTCCTGTCCCGCCGCGAGGCCCGAACGAGCGTTGTGCCTCGACAGTTGAGTTGCACGCAGCGATAGCGTTGGCCCTTGGTGGCAGCGACCCGCGCAGGCGTCGGATAGAATGCGGCTGCAGCTGCACGAGTGCGCTGACACACGCCGTCGCTCTGGAAGCGCGTGAGCAAAGGACGCTGCAGCGCTCACGATGCTGCACATCACGGCGTTGCTCCCAGCTTCGTCGCAGGTGTACTGAGCTCGGCGGAGCGCTAGTTTCGTAGGCGGTCGCGCGCCAGCGGGGACGTCGACCAATCGCTCCGACTCGGTCGCTCGTCACGCATGCGGCAGCTGCGCCATGGCTACATGCACGTCATGTGGACACCTCGGCATCGCACGCCTGCCGACGACCATGGCGCGTTGACCTTTGCGCGACGTCAGGAATCTGCTACATTCCCAGAAACTCATACACTGATGATTGGCTGAAACGCTTGAATTTACTGGACTTGGATTGGTTGAATTGACAACTAGCATGGCGATTGGCTGAAATGTCGACATTGCCACTACTTGATAGACGGGCTCATCCTCGATGCTGGTGCCGAGAGGCGACCATGGAGCGTGGGCCTTTCGCATTCAGCTCATGCGTATCAAACACGACCCAGAAGCATCAGTGGTGCACTCATTGCATGGGTATCGTCTTCCAGACATCTCAAGTTTGCGTCACTTTGTTTAATGTTGTTGTTGAAGTGAGTCTATTTAGATATAATTTACACTGAACTGGATATGGTGGTGGACTATCGATTCCAAGGTGCTACGATGAGCCGGCCGCCGAGAGGCTTAGCCGAGCGGGAGACGTGGCGTGTAAACGGCACATGCCGGAACAAAGTTGTCGCGTAGCCATGCGTCGTGCTGCAGGGCGGCCATCATTTGGAAGAGGCACAATGCTTGAGTGTTCAGCAGCAGGTGTTGGAGGT